GGTGCACGCGTGTACCGCGGGGTGGCCTACCTTGAATCTCGCAGGCGCCGAGCCTCCGTCAATCAACCTCGAGTGAATCTGAGAAAAACGGATGCGTATTTTCTGGACGAAACGCTAAGCGAAAACCACAAAACTGTGTGTACGTCTGTCTGGCGCCGATTTTAAACCGCGTGCCCTCCCCTCCCACAGGCGGGCGCCCCGCGCCTCAAGCTGCTGCAGCTGTCCGACACGCACGTCGACCCGCACTACAAGGAGGGCTCGCTCGCGGACTGCGACCTGCCCCTCTGCTGCCGTGCGTCGAGCGGCCCGGTCGCGGCGGGCAAGCGCACGGCGGGGCCCTGGGGCGACTACGGCCGCTGCGACGCGCCCGTCAAGCTCCTGGAGAACACGCTGCAGCACATCGCCAAGGCGCACCCGGTGCGTACCCGACGTTCTCGCTCCTCTGCAATCATTTGACTGTCTCCTGTCTCACGGCCGCGCTGCTGCTACTCCACAGGACCTGGACGGCATCCTGTGGACGGGTGACCTGCAGCCGCACGACATCTGGAACCAGACGCGTGAGGAGAGTCTGCACATCTTGCGCCTCACCACGGACCTCATCCTCAAGACGTTCCCCGGCGTGCCCGTGTTCCCCGCGCTGGGCAACCACGAGGCGGTGCCCGTCAACAGCTTCTCGCCGTCCTCCGTGAAGGGCCGCTTCTCCATGAACTGGCTGTACGACGAGGTGGCCTCGCAGTGGTCCCACTGGCTGCCCGCCAACCAGACCGGCCTGGTGCGTCGCGGCGCCTTCTACAGCGTCCTCTTCAAGCCGGGCCTGCGCGTCGTGTCCATCAACACCAACTTCTGCAACGACAAGAACTGGTGGCTGCTGCTCAACAGCGACGACCCTGACCAGGAGCTGCACTGGCTGGTCGAGGAGCTGCACCGCGCCGAGGTCGCCGGCGAGAAGGTGCTGGTCGTGGGCCACATCCCGCCGGGCACCCCGGAGTGCCGCTCCGTCTGGAGCAGGAACCTGGACGAGATCCTTTTCCGGTGCGTGAGTTGGGGGGCGGCTGGTCGGGGGACGCGATGCGACACACGTTCTCGATCCTCCTTAGTTGTTTCATGCCTTGATTCTGACTGGCTTTGGTTTCACCCGCCTCGCTTCTCCTCAGGTACGAGAGCACGGTGAGCGGGCTGTTCTTCGGCCACAACCACTGGGACGAGTTCCAGCTCTTCTTCGACCGCACCAACCCGGACAAGCTGCGGCCGTACGCCGTCGCCTACGTGTCGCCCTCCGTCACCCCGTACGAGAAGCCCAACCCGGCCTACCGCGTCTACTACCTGGACGGCGAGCGCCCGGACTCGACATACGTGAGGACGGAATGGTAACTACCAGCCCCTCCCCCTTTCCGTCCCGCCGGCACTCAGCCCTCCCCTTGCCGTGCTCGCAGAGCGTGCTGGACCACGACACCTGGACCATGGACCTGAAGGCCGCCAACCGCGAAGGCTCCCCGCAGTGGATGCGGCTCTACAGCGCGCGCCGCGCCTACGACATGGCCTCGCTCACGCCCGCCAGCTGGACCAAGCTCGTGCGCGACATGGCCACCAACGACGACCTCTTCGACTCGTTCTACAGGTGAGTGTGTGTGTGGGCCGGGCTTGCCTACGAGCACCCCGCCGCCCAGCGCTGACTCCGAGGGGTACTAAATTCAACAGCGATAAACCAATAATTTTTTTTTGAAAAATCATAAAAATAAGTCAATAGAAAAATAGGCAAGATTTAAAAAATATACACAAGAAAAAACAGAAATTGGCGTACGCTTGACTTTATAGTGAAGTCCCTCTGCTGACCCTCCTGCTTGCCCTCAGGAACTACTACCGGGACAGCGCGGAGCGGCCGGCGTGCGACAACCAGTGCCGGAGGAAGATCCTGTGCCAGCAGCTGCAGGGCAGGTCCAGGGATACCGCCCCTTGTCAGGTGATTTGGCGGGTCTTCGACGCGGCGCACCCGACCGGCGCCTGGTGGCAGCTCTTTCTCAGCCGCCTCTCCGGAACGTATGTCTGACCCTGCCCTTTTAACTTGGCCTGCCGCTCCACGTTATGTAACACGCTACTAGTCACGTACCTCTCACCGTGTTCATTTACCTTGTGCATTTGTACATAGTCAAGCATAACCTGTGTGCACGAGTTACGATTAACTTATTTATTCATTATTTTTCTTAGTAGTAGTAGTAGTAGTAGTAGTAGTAGTAGTAGTAGTAGTAGTAGTAGATGCAGGGATTTTGAGTTATTCATATGCTCTAAAAATGTTAAATCGACGCATAAACGTGTTGATTTCGCCTGCGTCGCTGGATGAAGTATGTCTACCTGCCCCGGTGAGTGGATGGGAGGAGAGAGAGAAAAGGGGGGGGGGGCTACATCGATGTACTTATAGCTATAGCAAAATAGCAATGGCCAAAGAGCTGATAAGACTTCTTGACAAAAGAGGAAGCTCAACGATCGCGACGCGAGTCAGCAGTCAGCACCCATCTGAAACTTTGTGTTGTCAGCACAATATCTAAGCCTCTGTGTCTAGTCAGCACAAAAATCAGCAACCGGCATGTCACGTGAGATGCCAAGAAAGCGTCCGATGTGGTACTTCCCCTTACAGCTCTTTACAATTAGTCCCTATTTCAATATTATTTATGAAAATTATCATTATTAACGATGCTAACACTTAACATTTGGATTGCATGCTTTAATTTGATCCTGGAGTGGAGTTGGTGTACAAATTTTATTAATATTAATTATGGCGTGAACAGATATCTTGACCTTGGTATCCAATAAGCACTTCTACTTAACATCACAAAACATTGTATTGTGTGTATATATAAATATAATACAGGCCTGTAGCATTTGGGTTCATCAGAAGAGTAAAATGATATACCTCATGGGGGAAGTCCAATGAGTTCATACTTTAAACTATTTATATCTTGCTTCTTTTGCGTGATAGTTACATAACTGGAGTTCATTAGCCATTTTAAAGCAGTTCAGACATATGTTCTGGGAGAACCACCTTCTCCTTGCATATTCTATGGTTTTGGGTCTTCACCTGATTTTTATGTAGTAATCGGTTCATTGTTCCTTTCTTGTATTCACTGCTCAGTACCTGTCGCCAACAATAGTGATCTCACATTATCTTTGTATGTATTCTTGTAACCTTATTAATGAAGTGCTGAAATGCTAACTTAAAGTTTCCTAAATTGACAGGTGTGTTTAGGAGGATGGTTCGAAGGAAAACCTGGCAAATTTGGCAACCGCTGGGTAGGACGTCCGTTGGCAGGCATTGCCAAGAACACAGCTCATAAAGTAATAAGTGCCCTTGGTCTCCAGAGATCTAAGGAAAATTATCTATGCAACAGAGTTGACGATTCGACCTCGTAAATTCTTAAGATACATCAATTAGTTGAAACGGTTGAAAAATAAAATGCCTTTTATTCTAAAAATGAAAAGAGAGGGAAAAGTAACAACTGACTACAGGTGGAATTACTGAAACAAAATTGGAAAATTAAAACGTCTCTAGCATCATTTTTACTTCATGAACTGAGCTATTCGTAGTGTGTATACAAACTTGTGCTGCATGTTGAGTGCGCATGGCTTTCTACTTGAGTTATACTATAGCACTACTAGCACTAAGCTTTCAAATTAACTAATTACCAAGGAATACTAATTGCTGCCTCTTTCCTTGGCAATTACTGCTTGAGTTTGAAACTGTTGAAAATATGAACATGCATTGAATACCAATAATACAGCTTTACCATCAAACTAACATATGGGTTGTGCGTGCTTGCTTACCAACAGCTCTACCTTCCTATGGAAATCAGTGGAGAGAATGTTCCAGAGGTGAGCGTGAAGGCAACTGAAACTTCATCAACTCAAGAGCCTGAGCCTGAGCCTGAGGTTTCATCCACACCACCATCACCGCCATCATCGAGTGCAAATTCATCGAAGCCTGGAATGGTGCTTATGTCTATTGTTCTAGCTTTTTCTTCTGCATGGTCATTTGGGAGGTACCTTTGAGCTGAACATTGGGAGGACGCATGTGATAACAGCAGCTGGGTAACTTCCATAAGTTTGAAATAATGAACAAGAACTGAGCTATTTCTAATGATTTGGGACATGTCAGTGGAGGAAGAAAACACTCTGAATCTCAAAGATTTCTCATGGAAGTCATTTACAATTAAGAGAAATCTTAACTCAATTGTGATACTTTTAAGGTAACTAGAATAAGTCTTTGTAAGAGAAAGTGTATTTTCATTAAAGAAATTTTTACCCTACCTGTATCCTTAGTCTGGATACATTGGAGAAAGTATATACAGTAATGTTAAAAGAACTGCAATCCTGGAACATTTTTAAATTGATGCCATGTGATGTTTTAATTTCCACATTGTGATAGTAGTTGTTTTTTATGTCAATGTAAATAAACATACCATACGAACATACGATAATATGAAATCTATTTTGATCTAAAAATCCATTTATAACACAAAATAAATATAATTCTTTACAAAGAGCAATAACAATGTCAATCACAGAACATTAAGACAGACTTGCGCCTCTCATTATAAGTTAATTAAGACACTTTGCCTCCAACCAACCAAAGTGCAGTTAATGAAATCTGTGAAATTCAGACAGACATAACAAAAATAATGGTAAAAAATGCAAAAGAAATTATCACATTTTTTGAGCATACAGGTTATGGCAGTTAAATCAATACACAGGTAATCAAAATAACATTCTACATTGATATTTTAAAGAGGACATTAGGCTACGATCACTGTTTCAGTTTCAGACGGCAAAGAAGTTATCCTATGTTTGCGGCGCTTACATTTTGGGCAAGGCATTTTTGCATTCAAGCAAGTGGAATGGAACACAGCACTACATCCTGGACACTGTACAAAGTAAAAATTATATAAATAGGTATGCGTAGTAAATCAATTAAAACACAACAATTATGTAGTTTGATTGTATGTAAAATTTCTTACCCTGAATGTATTTTCAGTATCAAAAGGGTATATAATTTTGGGATTGTTGCAAACCTCACAGAAGAAACCTTTTTGTGAGCAGAGCCAACAGCTAAAAACATGGTTGCAAGCGAAAGTGACAACCTGCTTCAACAGCTGAGCTAGGACTCCAGTTGGTATTTGAAGAAGGTCCTATATGTTTCAATAAAATTAGATGAGTTTACTTTTTAAAAATTACTCTGAGATAGAAAACTAACATTTTATACTTACGGAGATGGAATACAGATGAACATGTTCATAAAGATAATCTCTTGGCCAAACCATTTTCTGGAGCTCCTCAATTACTGGTTCTCGGCATGTAAAAAGATATGCCCTTAGCAGATTCAATTTATTTCTCAGTTTCTATGGGCACAAAAATTGTTAAGTAAGTTTAATCTTTTCAATTTTTACTACATGGTCATAACTGAAATATGACACAAAACAAACCTGCAGTTCTGAAACCTCTTCTACAGTGAGGTACAAGCATGGGTTGAGTGACTTTAAGTCCAGAATAGGATGATGTTTAACTTCAGAAAGGAATATTGCAGCTTTCTTTGACACACAGTACCGCCGATAATCCCAATTTAATAAAATACGGGCTGGTATAGCCCACTCTTCACCTGGATTAACAGTACATTCATCACAGAAGTAGCGCCCACTTAAGCCACAAAGCCTAGAAACCAGATAAATATTGTTTTCAGAATTCAATAAAATAAGGTGTTTAATGTAAATAAAGGTATTATTAAAAAAACATAATTCTATCAAATTATTACCTGGCTGCCCCAAAATTGAAACCAATGGGTTGACCACATTCAAAGCATGTGTACTTCTGGGTATCAAGCCCAAGTTCCTGAGGCAATTTTGTGACTTGAAGAAGAAGACTTCCAAATTCCTATAGAGATTTAAAAGAAAAAAATGAGTTATTGCTAAAACTTTAAAAGATTAGGAAGTAGATGCTTTAAAAAAGTCAGTTGTGCTCGTTACATGAAATTCAAGAAGATCTAGCTGTTGAAAAAATTGTCATTTAGAGAGTAAAACACTTTCCCTTGTTACACTACACAATTTTTTTTAAGTCATCTTAATACACCAATTTACATGATTCTAAATCAACATAAAGACGAACTTCACATGGAACAAGTGATATGCAACACCAATAATCCACTAATTCAAGCATGCAATCAATGTACTGCAAAGTTTAATGAGACAGAATGGACATGCAATTACTTACTTTACTTTTTGAGGATGGAGAGTCATCGACTATCTCAAATCCAAGCTCTTTAGGGTATGACAGCTGCATTAATTTGAAAAAGTGGTCAAAGAGAGGTTGATAAATGATTATGATTATGTGTCATGCAAATCCATATTCCATATAACAACAAAATGTAATCCCCAACATGAATTATACTTTATGGTGATGCACCATACCAAATGAGACAATTTGAACTGTTGATATCCTCAACACATCAACATGCATAACTTGACAAAAAATGTACGTATTCCATTACACGAAAAAAGGATCCTATTACCCCCTAGCAAATAGAACTTATTTTCTAAGTATGGTTACTTACATCAACTTGCTCACTTATAGAGCCACTGGGACTAGTACTACTACTAGGTTCAAATTGCTGTACCAAATCATTCAAATCCGGTGGATTGCCACCAGATGTTGATCCAGTGTTGTAACTTTCCAGGAGTGAATGGTATGAATGATAACTCTGTCGAGTTGTTGCTGTCTTTTTTGATTGCTCTCTCCTAAATCATAAAAATAATGTACCAACCAAAGAAAAAAATATGGATTGATTTTTGAGCAGAGAAAGTTCTGACCTTGTGTTGTCATTCTCCTCATCTTTATGATTGGCTCCAGAATCCGACATTGATTCTTCAAACGATGATGACCAACCCAGACGCCCTATGAGTGAATTTCCCATTGTGGATGAGTTATCTTCATCTTCATTTTCATTGTTTTCATCGGTCTTCTTTTTCTCACCCTTCTGAAAAAAAGATTATAAGTAGTAAATAATTTAACTATCCAGATAAGGTATAAATAATAGTTCATCATAGCTACCTGTTCACTTTGAGATTCATCATTTTTATCCGCTGAAACAGTAGTATTGGGGCATTCATGGTTTTCTAGCACAGGCTGTCTTTTAGATACCTTCTGATCAGTTGCAGATTCCTCGGCACGTTCTCTTGCCGAAATAGGTGAATCATTGACAGGTGTACCTAGGATTATCTTTAAAGCCTCTTCCTCATTGAATGTCATCATCTAAAAGCCATAAAAAGTAGAAAACATAATCATACATATCAGAATGATACATAATCATCTAAATGAAAGAAAACCCTTTGACCCCCCTTACATTTAACAGTCAAACTCATGAGAAAAATCAGGAAATCCAATGCATAGTTAAAACTACTCACTACGGCATCAAGAATGTAGGTACTTAAGAGGAAAGGTTTTAGAAAAAATGTAACTTACAGGACTAAATGCAGTACCAGTGCTCTGAAAAGATGCAACTGATATGGTATCTGCTTGAGATGCCTCCAGTTCTTCATTTTCCAGTATTTGTGCTACATCAGTTGCAACAGCCACTACTTCTTTTGTGGCTGTAGATCTAATTGGTGGAGTCCATAAGCCAGCTAGAAGCAAAGGTTGTAAGGTCCATTTATCAAGTAAGCTTGAATTCAAGGGCAGGTTAAATGGATAAGATTCAATGCCCTCCAAATATCGCTGAACTACGTCTAACATTTCCACATCACGCAGCAGAGCTCCTTTTCTGTAATAGTGACTGAAAAGTTGAAAAATAAGTATTTTTTGGATAATTCAATTCAGTTGCATTTATATTGGGATGAATGCTTCAATTTAAGAATACCTCAAAGCACGTTGCCCTTCTGTTCTCATTGCTTCAAGATATCTTGTTAAAACACCTTCGTTTAGTGCTAAGCGTAACCATGCTCTACAGCGACCAACATCTGTCTGAATTAAGTTTAATTTTAGGACCTGTCCAAAACAGAAAAATTAATACCAGCTCAAAACAACAAAATATGTTCTCCGACCAAGAAATGGGAAGTAAAACTAGCCTCATCTATCACATCTCTGTGAGAGACTTCCAACAAAGGTCCCCAGAAGTTTGGATCAGGTCGGACATCAATTTCAGACATCATGGATAGCCTTTGAATAAATGACTCTTTCAATCCATGAATGAAAATTGCCTCAAGTGCAGTGCACAATGAACTGAGAGCTTCCATTGAATTTTCATCTTTGCTGTCTGGGTCCGCTTGCTCAACCTGCACAAATTTGAAGGAAAGCTACAGCACGGCTCTAAAGAGTAAAATTATTAAAAATTAATGCTATTTACTGACCTGAAGATCTTTGACACTGCTAGATAATTTAGAAACAAGACTATTTTTCAATGCAAAGTCCCGCCCACCAAGAGATGATCGCATTGATCGGAATAGAGAACTCATCTTGAAATTATTCCCATTAACACAGCACCCAGTAGCTCATAAAATCAGATATATTACATCACGTTGTAGAAATGAAAATCAAATCTGGAAAAAATGCAAAGTAAGTTGTTTTCAGAAGACATTAGAGGTTAAATGAGACAGCAACCAAACTTACAGCAACTGAGACTAGCCTCAACACGACATGAGAAGTAAAAGGATTTGGGGACATCAAACAGTACTTACATCACGAATTAAAGAAATGTTAAACCTGACACCTCCAAGTCGTCTTGTTCTGTCTCCGTCTGCACGTTATTGTTTATTATTATTTGGAAGGTCTGGCGTTATTTTCACGCCAACTGTACTGCGCAGGTAGTACTGCGATTAGTTGAGGAACGAGCTGAACTATTCGCAGCACGGTTCGGGGAAGGCGGGCGGGCGGGGAAGGCCCGGAAGGAGGACCGCAAAACAGAGCGGGTGTTCCAAGCAAGCTAAGCTGTCCTTATTTCTGGTGGTGGTGGCACTGTACCGGATGCAGAGGTGTGGACGAGTTGCACACTCTCACGGAGCCATACAAGATTGATTTTTAATCTGACCTATCTTTTGCCGCTTTCGAGTGCTTTGTGCGTGTGTTGCTGACTTTGGCAACAAAAATAGTTGTTAGGAATGGGAGTACACAATACACACACAACACAAACAACACGTAGCAATAAATTCATGGACATCGTGAAATATATGTTTAATTTTGGAAAAGGGCGTAAAGGAAAGGCTTAAAATGAAAACGTCAAGAGATGAATAAATTATTGGTGTCAGTTTTAATCCAATTCTTGCATGGGATGGCCATCCAGATATTGCATCACGTTTCGCCTCGCAACTTTTCCATTTGATGTCTTCGGGATCTGCTCGATGAAAACGACACCCCCTCGCAGTCTCTTGGTATTCGATAGGCGATCTGTAAAACAATCAAATTTTCTTGTGTTTGTTTGTTTGTTGTGATTATAAAACATGACTGGAAATGTGTCTTGACGTTTGTGCTCACCCGCCACGAGCTGCTGCAGCTCCTGCTCTGTGACGTTGTGGCCGGGACGCCGCACGACGACGGCCGATGGGACGTCCCCGGCCAGCGGGTCTGGGCGGCCCACGACGCAGGCCTCGGCCACGCCGGGGTGCTCCCGGAGGACCGCCTCCACCTCGGCGGGCGCCACCTTGTCGCCATGGTACTTGAGCAGCTCCTTCAGGCGCCCCACGATGTACAGGTAGCCGTCCGCGTCCAGGTAGGCGATGTCGCCGCTGCAGAAGTAGCCGTGCTCGTCAAACGCCTGCGCCGTCTCCTCCGCGTTGTCCTTGTAGCCCTTCATCGTGGAGGGCGAGTCGATACGCAGCTCACCGGGGACGCCAGGGGTGCGGATGTCCACGCCCGTGTCTATGTCCACAAACTGCGTCGAGGAAGGTGTGTGAGACAACGTGCGTCGCAAATTCCGCTGCCTTCTGCGTGCTTCTACTCACCCGGACTCGGACTCCCGGCACGAGCTTTCCGGTCGATCCGGCCCGCAGCGGCTTGCTGCCCGCGGAGAGGACCAGGGTCTCGGTGGAGGCGTACGTCTGGTGGATGTCGCAGTGCATGACGCGCGCCAGGGCCTCCTCCATGGGGGCGGGCAGGGCCGTGCCGCCCACGACCACGGCGCGGAGCTTGGGGCAGGGCGGCCGCGTCAAGTCCTTACCCTCGGCGCGCACGGCCTCGGCGACCAGCATCATCAGCGGCGGGGCCGTGAACCAGCAGTTGCACTGCAACCGGATGGGCCCCGTAGCGTATTAGGCTGATGAAGTCTTCGGACTTTCACTTCGACCGCCACTGGCAGTTCGTGCTCACACTCACCTCGTAGCGGCGCAGGGACGCGAGCAGCGCCGGCGGGGAGGTGAAGGTGTCGCACACCCTGGTGGAGCCCGCCAGCGAGCTGGCCACGAGCAGGCCGATGCCCGTGACCCAGGACATGAGCGATGTGCACAGGATGCGCTCCCCGCGGACGCAGCGGAACGCCATGCTGTCGACAAGATGAAGTGACAAGTGTCATCCGGGAGCTCTCCGATCAGCAGCACCGGGACTCGGTGGCGCACTCACACGCAGTCCTGCGTCGACATGAGCATGCCGAAGTTGCTGAGCATGACGCCCTTGGGCATCCCCGTCGTACCGGACGAGAAGAACACGGCGGCCACGTGCTCGCGGAAGTCACCGACGTCGGCGGGGCGGTACGAAGCCACGTCTACGGCCGTCGCGTCCACGAGTCGCATCACGTCGCCAAGCGTCCGCGCGCCCTCGGCGGCCTCCTCGGACTGCACCAGGAGCAGGCAGCCTTCGGCCACGACGCCGGCCTCGGCCATCACACGCCGGGCCAGGTTCACGTTGGGCGGGTCGCAGAGGATGGCATCGGGGCGCAGCAAGGCCAGGCAGTGACGCAGCTCGCCTGTAACAGTGACAGTCACATGGGCTCGGAAACGTTGGTCCAGTCATTGTGATAGTGTGATGTATATTTTTTTTCCAAACCAGCCATCTCAGCGTCCTTGGCGTACCTTCACTGGCAGTGGGGCTGATGCCACTCAGGGTGACTCCCTGGAACACGGCGCCCAGCACTGCGGGGAACAGCATCTCGCTATTGCGCGCGAACACGACCAGGGTCTTGCCGACGCCGAGCCCCGACGCCCTCCAGCTCTCGGCCGACTGGACGGACAGCTCCAGGATGGTGGGGAAGCTCATCTCGTTGCCGGTGGCCGCGTCGATCTGCACGACAGGTTCGTGAGGCGGCGGGGTTCGTCGGGCCGCGCCCGAGCCCACCCACAGCCGGACGAGGATAAAGCCATATTTACCTGAGCGGGGAAGTCGGCCTCCTTGGCGTGCCGCCGGAGGTGGTCCAGGACGAACGCCCCCAGGGACACGGCCGGGTGCGTCCTGCCGGCCTCCCCCGACCACACGAACACCCCGCTGTCACTTGGCATATCAGGCATGTCGGTGTAAGAGCGTGTCAACAACAGCAGTCAGCTCGCCGCGCTCGCCGCATCCACTGACTAGCTGCCGGCGGGTGAGCGAAACTCTGTCTCGGCGGGCGAACGTGAGTATTCTATTTATCATGCGGTGGTGGCGGTGGCGGCGGTGGCGGCGGCGGCAGCAGCAGCAGCAGCACTGGTCAGGCCACCTCGCCTCGGCCAACCTTTGAACGGGACCAGCTCTTGTCAGGACAAAGGAGGGGGCGTGCGATGGGTGGCCTGCACGCCGGGCTGTGCCGCTAGCCGCTGGAGCAGCTCCGCCCGCGCCCGACGCTTCACTTCAGTATTTTTGATTGTTTTCCAATCATACATTCGATTACTTTAAAGAGGGTTCGCTGGTGTCCGTGGTCTTCACAGTGATTGGGGGGGGGGGTGCAGTAGTGAGCTGTGGTAGGTGCCCCGGCCGACGACCAAGCAAAGCAGGTAGCAGGTCAGGTCAGGGGGATACACATGCGACAGAGCTACGCGCTCGAAGCGCCTACGAGGTGCGAGGTAGGCACGCCCGCCGAGCACTGGTGCCCGCACGCTGCAGAGTTGCCTACGCCGCGCTTTGCAGGCGCCCCCAGCCTTAGGGTGGTGAAATTAAATTTTGTTTTTGATTCCAGTTGGTCGTTCTTTATTTA